TCCGGTGGCCACAACATTTGTTCAATCTTAGGAAATTCAAATATTTTCTCTTTTCCCCCCATCTTGGCTTCAAATCAAAGTGATAATGGTGGTTAGTTTCCCTGGGCTTGAACTACCAAGTAGTTGTTACCAGCACAACTTGGACTGCAAATATTTTAAATTAAGATTCTAAATTTTATCCTGATGGAAGGTTAAGGTGTGTGCTACCTTAAAAACTTAAAAGAGACCCTTAATCCTTTCTTTCTCACTTTCCCATTTAAGAATGTGAGTTGTCTTGAAAAACGAAAAAATAAAACACTTTAACTATTAAGAAAAATGTAAAATGTAAATAGCTTGGCATCATGTTTGCCATTCCACTGCTATAACAAATGGATTAATTGCTGGGTAATTTAATCAGATGGCTTGCTGATACTATTTGAGCACAGACTTGATACGTGTCCAGCACTTCAAAAATCGGTATGGTTTTTTCAGCTATGAGAAAGAAGTCTATCCAGATGGCCCTAAAATGAAGGACAGCATTCAAAATGTTGTTCCCAGAGGATTGGCCAGCTGTATCTAACATGGAAATGCTTCTGTGAATTTTTAAAAAAGCATTAAGTATAATGGAGAATACTGGAGAGAGCATTTAAATGTAATCCATTCACAAGCTAGAGTAATTGACTTGGTTGGCAGGAATCAACTGAAATTAGATTTTAATGGGCACAACCGCTAGCACATCTATCTCATATAAACTACATCTAGAACTAAGATACTAACTTTTCCGGAAATTGTCCTTCAACTTAATCTTTCCAGCTAATATTACCTTTATGTGGCATTATTCAGAAATTTGCCACCTACAATGAAAGACCCTTCTGAAGAAGTCCAATATTTATTATTCTACTGAGAAACATTTGAAGGTATTTTAAATCCATTTAAAAATAGAAAAATACACTCAGGACTCAACAACTGAGAGTAAGAAACCAAAAACCTACAATTGTAGTCAGGAGACATCTTTGTATGAACAATTTATAAAAGATTTGCAGACGAGCTGGAAAAACGAATCAATTCTCATATTAGAAACAGCACATGTCTTTTTTAATATCCCTGTGAAGTTTTTATGCTACAAATTAGCATCTTCCTGGAGCTCACTCATACCATTCATAGAACTTTGTACTGCCATCTGACAAACTGTGTTCAGTCCAAGACTATTATGTTTTACATCTGCCAAAGACTGAAAGTGCACTGAGAGGGGAAGCTTCACCACAGCTAAGAAGCAAATTTAACATGACTTCAAAAAACACCCATTAAGCCTTCAACACTGATCCAGAAAAAAAAAAAAAAAAAAAAAAAAAAAAAAAAAGTGCACTATTTATTCTATAATGGTATTAAAAAAAATGTAAAAAAAAAAAAAAAATTTGAGAATTTCCATCAAGGCAAATGAAATCCCAAAAAGGTAGAAAAATGTGAATTTAACTGTTTACCAATATGAAAAATATTTTTCACATGTGATAACGTTATTACATATTATTTAAAAAGTGCTTTTACTGTTATCTCTCTCAACAGAGGTCTAATTCTAGCATAGAAGGCAAAGGAAGGTTTTCTTTAAATATTTAGATTAAATAATTAGATTCTAGAGAAGACTGAGAAGGGATCTTATCAAAACATAAATACACCTGAAGGGAGAATGCAAAGACGATGGAGCTCTTGGTGGTGGCCAGGGACAGGACAAGGGGCAATGGGTGTAAATTGAAACACAGGAAGTTCCATCTGCATGTGAGGAAGAACTTCTTCACTGTGAGGGTTACAGAGCTCTGGCACAGGCTGCCCAGGGAGGTTGTGGAGTCTCCTTCTCTGGAGGTCTTCCAAACCCACCTGGATGCCGCCCTGTGCCCCATGCTCTGGGTGTCCCTGCTGGACAGATTATCTCTAGAGGTCCCTTCCAACCTCAATCATTCTCTGATTCCATGAATTCTTTCTTTCACTCAATGAAGCCTACATCAAGTGAATTGCAATTGATTTTTAAACATTTATTCAATTTCATTTATAGAGACAAATTAAAGATAGATTAAAAATATCAAAAGTTATTCATAAATAGGAGTAAATCAAAACATACTGTCAAGACAGTATTTTTTTTATGGTAGTTTAAAGTTATTTACATGAAATCTAAATAACTTTAGATGCATCTTTAGATGTAAATTTTTTTTCTTATGTTTTCCTTCAACTATATTTAGTGGATTTAAACAAAAAAAATGCAATGTAAAAGCATTTTACTGTGAGATGGTAGCAGGGACAATTATAGTAAAGTGCTAATGTAGGAAAATACTGGGGAAAAAAAAAGAGATTACAACAGTTGAGGTGGCTGTTAAGGCAAATGATCTTTGGTAAGTAAGTGTTCCTGAACAGGATATTTAGGAATGCTTATGGAGGATAACATCTCTCTGTTTCAGGAGAGGATTCAGAAGCTTTCTGCAAGGTATATTTTAGAATATCTGGAAATTCTTCAAATAGATTGAAAAGAAGAACTATATGGGGTTTCTTAATCTTGAAATGATGACTGTATTTATCATGTGTGCAAGAGCCTGGGGCTTAGAAGGGTGTTCTGGCGTGGTAGGTAAAGAAAACTACAATCAGGAACTCTGTCTGGGGGGAAACTTGGAGGCTAGAATAGGCAGGAAAATAACAGGAGTACTGAGCTTTGGCTTTGGCTTCTCTCAGTATTTACCAAAGTCTTCCAAGGAAATAAAGAATAATTTTCTTACATGCTTAATTAAACGGATGATAATATTTTTTAAAAAATCTATTACCTATATCCATGCCAAGCTGCTTCAACAATCTCCTGTTTATGAATTTTAAGGCAACACTCCCTACAGCGGCTTTGCCTCTAGAAGCCAAGAAAATGGATTAGGTAGTCAGAGCAAATTCTGAGAACTGCATGATTTTAATATGTTTCTTTGATAGAATTAATATTTTCTCCTAATAAAATGCTCTAAAGGATTAGAAAAATTCAGTAAGTTCCCGAATACTAACTGTGGTAAACTTGGAGATTAAATCAACTAATCAGGTAAAAGTTAAGGGGATTTTCATCCTGCCTTAAGTGAAAAATTCAGGGTAATTTCAGCTACAGCATTTCTTCAGAAAGCCTCAATAACATTTCTAACCAGGTCACATACTATAAAATCCCAAATGAACACCACAGATACATATTTATTTATAAAGAACTATCATGACAATATAAAGAACACAAACCTGCTGCTAACATGAAATATTCTTAGTAGGCATCCTTTTTATAAATTGAAATTATTTCCAACAAATAAATAATTATGAATGTGACCATCAACAATTCTTTTATCATGATCTTCCTTTGGAGAGCTTAAGAGAGGCGCTCATGCAGCCTTGATTTCTGAATGATTGGTTTATGAAAATTTGGATGTCATCAGAATTAATGTGAAGGTACTTCAAGGGCATCATATAGTTTATTTCATATCATTGTTTTTCCTACCAAATATACTTAGAGGCATATCCACACAGACATTATACAGAAATTAATAAATATCTGTGCTATGTTTATGAGTATGGTACATACATCTGAGCATTTGTTTCTGGTGGCTTACTTCCCAAGAAGTTAGATGAAAAGACATCTGCTATAAAACAAATTGAGGCAAAACAATGATAAAGTCACTGAAGACGAAGATGAAATTAGTCTTTTTGGAATGCCTGATTTTCCCCTTTCAAAGTCGACCTGAGCAGACACATACTCATTCCAGAGAACCTGGAGAGACCCAGATTTAACCTTTATGTACTTAACTAAGGTTGTTAGTTAGAAGACTCCTATTAGAGGACACACACACCTTCAAAAAGCAGTTTCCCCCACCCAAGAGAAATAAAGCATGGCCTGAATTCCTATTAAAGCACTTCAGGTAGTGGGTCAACCAGGCACTCCATCTGTGAAATCTGAGGAGCTGGCAGGCTGGCAAAGAACTAGAGGCAAAAGAAGTAGCAAGTGCTTAAGAGTGATTGACTTCTTATGCCTCCAGAAACGCAGGTAAGCACCTTCTGAAAGGAATGCAATCTTGTAACAGCAACTATGATCCCACAGCAACTATGATCCCACAGAGCAATATAGATGCATTTTCATCATCCACTTTGTATAGCCTCTAGCAAAAAGTCTGTCTTGCTGATTTAGAAAATATTAGTATGAAAGACCTTATTAAAGTCAACATGAATCACGTCTGCCATGGCAACGTAGCTACAAAACAAGGGCCTGCAGTTTTACCTAAAGTGAAGGACAAAAGCCAAAACTGCCCTGAAAAGGGACAAATGTTCTCTGTGCCACAGAGCATCGCAGGCAGTAACTCTGAAACATTACTTAGAGCTTGCATTCATCGTCAATTGTAAGTGCACTTCACAGCACTAAATTTTGAGCAGGTATGGATCAGTGTAGTTTTGCTGCTTGCAAGTAAGCTCCGTCAGTCTGCACAGTGGACTACATCGCAAGTTCCTTTTAATATTGAATGTAAATGTTTCAGCTCCAAGTTGCAGTAATTTCCCTTTCCACTTCTGGACCTGCTTTCTTAAATTTCCCTTGAGCTCTCCTTCTGAACAAACATCCCCATTTACTCATACTAAATCAGACTTCTGAGTAGGAGGTAAAGGACAAAGGGGTTAATTCAGTCCAGAAACAGGAAGTAGAAAACCACAGGTAACAAGAAAATATTTTGTAATATGACAAAGTGTTGAATTCTCACAAGGCATTTCTCAGACTGACTGCACAAAGGCTTTATCCAGATACAAATCTGCCTCTTTCAACAACCAGTGCAAACTACAAAGCATTTCAGTAATGTCATATATCCATTTAGTTGGCTAAGATATCCTAATTGGCTCTCTTTTAGCTTTAGTGGGAGGAGAAAATGAAAGATGTGCTTGGCAATTGTTACCATTTATTTCTCATTGGCACTATTAAAATGGCTCAGCAGTTTTTTTACTGAATGTGGCTGTGGAAGGTTTTTGGTGACATGTAATACCTGTTCTTAATGTGCTGGGGAGAACCAAGACACTTGAAACTTCCATTGACCATAATCGCAAGCCGTGTGCAGAGGGCTTCACATTCCTCCATACTGGAAAGTAGGGGTAAGAGACGAAAGAAAAAAAAAGAGATTGAAAGAACAATAGTGAAAACAGAACAGTACTTATACTTAGCTTTTTAATTAAAAAGGAATGAAACAGGATAACTGCAAAAATTGTTACAAAAAAAAACCCTCTAACTTTTAAGACAGCAGTTCAAATTATAGCCCTAGTCAGTACATACCAAATATATTGCCACACGACAGCTAGAACAAAGTCATAAAAATTAATTTATATTCACAGTCAAGAGCTAATTGGACAATTCTGGCCAAAATACGAAAGTTTTATTAGTGAAGTCAAATACCTGATAGGCAGCCTCCCAAGGTCACTGCGAATGACAGCAGTGCACAGTATTATTGCCCTTAATTCCTGCTTACAATCATTCTGAGCTAAGAGATGGATTGCTCAGCTGTATGGCATATATCCTTATATAGAAAATTTAACCTGATTGCTGGACAGAACAGATGTAAAAAAGATGTAAATGACAAACCAAACAGAATTTAAGACAAACTCTGCTGTTGAAAAGCAGAATCCTGTTGCAAGCGATCCCTTGAAATGATAATGAGTAATCTTGACTTGTAAAGCTTATGGCAAATTCGGCTGCCTTTTTACACATCACATGGAATTACATGAGCAGATTTTCTAAAGCATCTGTTTAAACGCAGGACTTCAGTGAGGATGTGTTTCATCATACAAAAGAGAGGTCAAAGATGTTTGATGCCCTTGCAGTTCACTGTGTGAATCCTCAGCCTCTCTGGGGCGGACCGAGGCCTAACTCAATCCAAATTCTAGCACTTTTACCTGGGAGAGTATGGGAATTGCAGCTGAACTATCCCCTTAGGCACACTCTTTAAATGGGACAGCCATAGGGTGAGCACTGCTAAAGCAAAAGCCACTATGTTTGAGAAAGGTGGAGAGGAGGCTACTAGCATATTTTCCCAGAAAACAGGAGATGAGCTCTATGTGCAAGTTTGTCTGTGGTGCAGTATCTCCCAAAGCTCTTGTTAGCATAATGCTCACCAGCTGTGGCAAAATAACATAAATAAGTTTGTATGGACAATTCATACAACCTCACACATCTCTCCCCTTAAAATAAAGCTAACAAAGCAGTTAAATATTATCTCTGAAAATGAAGCCAACAGACTTCAAACACCACTTTTTACACGGGAAAGCACTGCTATACCTTGCTCATTTATTTGTGGATGTGCCTTACTTCAGCTGTGTAAGTAATCTTTGAACAAATCTTAGATATCTCCAATAGCCTTCAGCGCATAAAAAACAATCTCTCCTTTAACCAACCTGGCACAAAAACATCTTATTAATTAGAAATGAAATCTATGTGGACTGCCACACTACCATGATAACTGTTTCAGCTGCAAGTCATTCATTTGTCAAGCTAAATGAGCAATTAGTAACAATTTATTTGACAGATTTAGTTTATTTCTTGTTACAACATATTAGTAATGAAATCACAATTACATTCTGTTTAGCTGCTTTCTGACACCGGAGGATTCTTAACCTGAAAAGTCAAGGCACACTGTTTCTGAAGACTGAGCTCAATATAACTCACATTGTATAACTTCTGTTTCTGAACTGAAAGACCTTGTAAACACCTGGGGTTCATGTATAATATATATGCTATATACCTATATGATTTTGAGGAATTAATTTCTAAAAATACAATAGTTGACATTTCAGAAAGCATTTCTTCCAGCAATATTGAAGGATAAACATGCTCATGAACAAGAAACACATTTTGACAACATCTGAAAAATTTAAAAATATCTGTATTAACAGAATATTTTATTGCATTCTTATTTTACCCACTACTTCCCATTTCATTTGGCCAAAATGCTACATTGCTGTTTTGATTAGTTCATTCCGTCCCTTCTGGGCATGTTTTCATGATCTCTCCCTCAAATAAAGCCATTCTGTATATAATTATATATGCCCTACAGAGAACATGTAATTTGTTCCATTTACATGTTGCAAAACAGCTTCAGCGTCTGCTCCATTAAATTGAAGCAGCAATAACCATATTGGAGAATTGACAAGATACTTAATGCAGATCCACTCTTCCAGGAAGATAGGGTCGCTCTCAGCAATTCCAACAATACATACACAGAATATCTATTGTATCTCTCTCTACAATGCCATGGCACGATTATACCCTGATACAAACCAGAATCCTTGAGAATGCAAAAGGAGTTTTCCATTCCCACTGTTTCTTTGAAAGGTTTGTAAAGTGGGCAACCACAATTTTATGTCAGTTTGGCTTATGAGCAAGAAGGAATTGCCATAAAATAGTGAGATACCCCTTGAGTTTCACATCCAGCATACCTTCAGAATACGCTCTTCTGCCCTCAGTCAACAAGGGCAAGGATAAACACTAGGACTGTACCGGTTGCTAAGAAAAGGGCTCTCACCTGTGGGATGTCAGCACAGCTGCACAACCATCGCGAACCTCCTTCAGGATAGTTTTCCAAAGGTAGCGTTTAGAGCAGGGATCCATACCTGAACTGGGCTCATCCTACAAAAAAAAAAAAAAAAAAAAAAAAAAAAAAAAAAGTGTAATTAATCATAGGAAAACATACATGGGTCAAGTTTAGCATAAGGAATTTAAAGAATTCATAGTAAATATATACATTTCTCTAAGAAAAGTTAGATATTCAGGAGGTCACTTAAAAGGCACCCTTACCTTTTTTTTTTTTTCTTTTCCCCCTCTAGCTTTATTTCTAAATTAAAAGTGTACATTTTTATGTATTTTTGCAGGAGAAATTTGCAGATCCTTTTCTCATCTAGGGGGCTGAGGTTAATATTTCTTCCTTCCCTACATGCACGCCTGCCACGTATGTACAAAACAACTGGAGCAGAAGTCCTATAAATTCAAGGCTGCTTGCCACCACCCGAACTATACCCAGCTCTAAATGGTATGTTTGGATTAAAATTCACCCAGCAGTTGCTCCCAAACCTCCCTTTAGGACCAAACCTCATGCACGGTTAGAGGAACCCAATTCAGTCAGTGGATCATGCAACCTTCTCACTTGTCCCATTTCTAGCTCCCATAGCTTACATGGGCAGAGAAGTGCAGCTACAAAACTGTATTTCCCTATCCTATCTAATCACGGCATCCTCAGTAAATTAAATCAATTCTTGACTTACATGAGGACATCTGGTAAAATACAGGAAAAAAAAAGCAAGAAAGATAATTTGGGAAAAAACAAACAAACAAACAAAAAACCCCTATCACCTCCTGTCACCTAAATTTAAAGTTAGGAGGCTCGGAATGTAAGCTAAAAGTATTCAGTGGTTTACATTGGTGCTCAATGAATCTCAAAGCAAATCACTCAAAATACTGAATAACATCCTTAGAACTTCACAGCTTTCCAAAATCACCCAAATCTTTAACAGCACTTACATATTTGAGTATTTTATTTCCTCTTGTCATTGTATGTGCATTAATGTGTGCCTTGGAGCAAGTAAGCCGAAATGGCTACTTGCAGTAGCATGTCATAAAAATATTACAAGACACTGGGAGCATTTTCTTAGATGAGGAAGAAACACTGATTTAAGATTCTCATCTTTTACTAACTGAAGCAGGGTCAGATTAAGCAAAAAAAAAATGCAAACAAAATCATTCAACTCAGAAGTGAGGTTAAGTTTAAGAGCTAAGGTTACTCTTTTAAGTTGGAAAGTGAACAAGTTCGAAGCAGGAAAATCTCTCTTTCAGATATCAACTTCAGAAATATGAATCTCATGGGAATATAGATTTCATCCAGTTCCACTTAATGTGTGGTTATCTTGATCTACAACTTGAAGTACTATTTTCCCCTCGACTTTGGAGAATAAGAACTACCTCTGTTTGAGAGTTCTGAAAGGTTTATTTCACCACAGAAGTGATTTAGCACTTCCCAACCAAGGCTTAAGAAATATATATTCAATCTTTTCTAGTGAACTGTATGCAATCATAAGAAAGAGTATATAGTATAATAATGGTAGTACTGTATTTCCCTAATCTTCAGTATAAAAGGCATTGTTTAAACTGTCAGGCTTAACAGGCCTAAATAAGTTCATATTTTGGAAGAGCAGGATGCATACTCCAAGACAGTATATGATTATCTATTCCCATTCAGAAGTTTATAGCTAGTTGCAAGATTTGCATATAAAATGAAAATATAAAAAACATCCAGATGAACGGAGCTTGCCATGCAGCAAACATGTAACATATGGCAAACATGTAGCATACAAGTCATGATAAAGACAACCTAACAATTAAAAACACCAGTACAAAAATTATTAAATCCAAAATCTTTTTTTGAAGAAGGTAGAATTGTTGATTTGTATATATTTATTATGTCATATTCACAATATGGAATATATAATACACAAAGAATACATAATACTGTACCATATTTTACAGTAAATGATATTTCTATTTTCTGTATAAAGAAATTTTAATTTTTAAAAGTATCAATATGGGTCCACAGGATATTAGAGTTGTATCTATGCCTGTTTAAGATCCTCTTCCAAAGTAGCCACAGAATTGCCTTTACTCACCAATAAAAGTATTTGGGGTTTGCCAACTAAAGCCACAGCAGTAGAGAGCTTCCTCTTTGTGCCACAGCTGTATGTTCTCACCAGTTTGTCAACATGGGCACCAAGGTGCAACCGGTTGACAAGGTCCCCTGCTACCTGCAATTCAGAAACTCGACGGTCAGCAAAGAGAAGGCAAAATCAAGGTAAAGATTATGTTTAACCTGAAAAAATATCCCATTCATTCATACTAAAAATAAATGTACAAGTTATTTCCTTACTTCCCCTCATCTGCTGCATATAATTATTACTGAATGCAGACTTGCAGAAAAAACTGCTCCAAGACCCCTCTTCCCTCCCTCCAAAAGATAAGGATTTTCCTATACGGAAATATTTTGCTTGGTCATCCCTGTAACAGTGATTTGTATTCTTTTTGGCTTACTGAGCAATAGAAAATTCAGGAAACACAGTTCCACATTGGCCACCAAGAAGAAAATGGAGGAAAAGCAAGTCATAATTCAAGGATTTGGAATGTCTTAAAGATCAAAGTTAATGTAAGGTTCATTAAACATACCTACCTAAGAATAAGGAGGCATAAGTTCATGCTAACTATTTTTTTGATTATCTTTGGTTAAATTAGCAGCTGTGATCCAAATAAGCTGGATAGGCACATGAGCACATCTGAAGACAAAATTCATGCTGTCCTGTATGGCCTTTCCTTTGCACGTGTCAGAGACTGTGCTGATGTTTGAGGTTCCCTCCAACACCAGTGCTAGAGAATTTAAAGTGCAGCAACAGCATTGCTAGCCTTCTACATGACCTATCACTGCTGGACTATCCTGGGAGACCTTGTGCAAGAACATGAGAGGAGCAGTGACTCATCTACCTACCTTTACCAGATATGTGCTGAAAAGAAGCATGTGAACTTAAGAAAACATTTCTTAACAGTGAGGGTGACAGAGCACTGGAACAGGCTGCCAAGAGAGGGTCTCTTTTTTGGAGATCTTTAAAACCTGCTTGGATGCAGCCCTGTGCCACGTGCTCTAGATGAGTGACCCTGTGTGTGCAGGGGCGTTGGACTAGATGACCTCTGAGGTCCCTTCCAACCTCAACGATTCTATGATTCTATGTGGTTAGTGGCAAGCAGTTAGCTAGCTATGCCAGTAAGGGACAAACAAATGTCCTGCACGTTACTTTTGTTCCCTCTGTACTCCCTGAGCACCTTCAGCAGGAAACAGGGAACATCGAAAGGGTTAAAGTCAGATGAGAGGGACACTGTCCAAGCAATTCAGAAAAGCCAACAGGAAAAAAGAATGCTAATAAGTTATTCGCTATCCATTTCACATAAACTATGAGCTTAATCATATTTTTGTTAAGAATTTTAAGCAAAATCCTTCATGGTTCTTGCAGTAAGTTTTAGAGGAATTTCTTTGTCATAAGGCACAATGCTGCAGTGTGACCATCTGATATTTTTGTATGTGTTTTGGCCCTGGAATGCAAAGTTGCTTATGCTCCATTTACATTAATGTTTAACCTGACAACAACCTGGACAATTTGCAGACAAAAACTGTGTTTCATAACATTATGTCTTTCATGTCTTTGAATATTTTAAATGCAGGGGTTCAAAACAGAGCCATCATCGCCATCATAAAAAGTTAATCAGCGATCACGAAACCACCCATAGACAATTTTATGCTGAGAAGTTCATGCCTTATTTCGGAGCTAATTCACAGCCTGTTTGCTTTCCTGCAGACACTCCTGCTGCGTGACAGCAGGGTTGCAGTAGTAGTGGCTTTAAAAATGGTCAAAGCCGTAGATACAGCAGATGAACATTTTTTTTCCTCCCAAACATAGGCCTTGTTATACAAAAGCTTATGTAACCAATTTCTGTAACACCAGCCACCATCTAGGAAAAAAAAAAAAACAACAAAAAAAACCCTACAGCCTTTAAAGTCATTACCTCTGAGGTATACAGCAAACAGCTATCTGCTGTACAAAATTGACAGACTTTCCTACCTCTGAGAATGTATGAACATTACTGACAACAGGGTTTTCTTCCAATAAATCCTTCAGATAACATTGTGCAGAAAAATGCATAAAATTGGTAAATAAGTGAAAAAGTGACTTCTTGTTTACACAGAACATGCATTCAATACTACAACATGCTTCAGAAATTACTAAATAACAAGGAAAAGACCACTTTATTCCAGAACTGAAATGAAGTGAAAACTATCCATAGCTTATGATTAGAAGCACTTAGTTCTATGATGACTGTGCAAGTTAACAAAGCTATACTTTTAAAGAGGCAATGAAAATTGTGCAAGGAAGAATTTAGAAAGCTAAGGAAGACTACCATAGAAAGAAGAACTAAGTCAAGGAAGCTATGTCAGACTGCAGGCTGTAGCCTCCAGTCATGTATCAGAAGCTTGTAGCAAGCCAGCCCAGAAACAATTTAAAAGGTCAGCTCTCCCATGTGCTATTTTTATTTTTACCAATGGTTGGAACATAATGTTCTTTTCAGGAAACAACACTGAAAAAGTTCAGCTTAGACCAATTTGCTATTTCTTTAGCTCTACAATTCTCCCAGCTACCTGGGGTTACTCAAGAGTGTTCATGGCCCTGACATGTAGGACTACATGATGTCCTGCTTGGTATAAGGAAGAGTTGGAGCCTGGCAAGACCTCTGCCCTGGAAATTTTGTAAGACAGAGATTTAATAAAGGTAAAAAGGAAGAGCAGAAGGAATCATTTAATCATACTCACTTTGCTGCTGCTTTAAATGAACTTCCAAACTATCTATATCTTGCAGATAATTACAGTGCATGCCACAGTTTGGCTCAGTATGTAGATACACTTCTTTTGGGCAAAATACACACCAAATCAGAACAAGTTCAGAGGTGAATCACGTGAGCAATGAAGGCAAAAGGATTAGTTGTCTTTCTTACTCCTAATAGTTTCCCAGTTGAACTAATAAGTCTCCCAATCCTCCCATCTTCCACCACCCCTTATATTCCAAAGCAGCATTGCAGAGGCTACTTCAACAAATACATGAATGCAGAGTTCATTCTTTTTTTTTTCCAAGAGATGACCCTTATTCTTTTTCTCTCCTCTTTAATGTATATTTCCAATAATAGTAGCCTTAGCTACATCAATATGACCTAAAGAGTAAAGAAGATGATATCCAAATGAAATTAAATATATTATATATTAGATAAATTACGGAGTAGCCTGTACATCTCTACAACTTCATTTAACTATATAATCTGTGGTGTCTTGTGGCCTGTGTCATAACACACTATAAAGTGAAAATGCAACTATTTGAATAGAAATTTTGATTTAGACTACTGATAAATCTTCAGATACACAAAATTATGCTAGAATTTTACAATTCTGATAGTTCACTTTAGTAAATGTGAGGTATATACACAATCACCTTCCCCTCTCCTTGTCATATGCATCATGATGTTCTATTTCTGCTTGCAATTACTTTCAGCACTGAAGAGTGTGGAGATTTATCAAATTATTTAGCAAGTTAGTAACACTATGGCCAAATGAAAAGACACAAGAGTTGCATGCAAATCTATATTTTGTCTTTTTATTTGCACCACAAAGATGATAATTTATGTCTAATCATGTCTCTGTAGTCCGCATTTAAACTCTTTAAACTCTTCTCCCTCCAAATTGAGTTGGAATAATTCCCACCAACTTTGGAAGAAGCCCTTTATTCTGTAAAATTTAAGCCAAACCCCCTGATTCATGCTTCATGCACTTCTTAAAGACTACATTTAATTCCAGAAGAGGCAAGGAGGTAAGTCACTTGTGTTTTTGCATATATGTTTAAATTTGTAGAAGTAAAGATTAAAGTAGGCATGGAGTTTTCTATCCACCAGCAAATCAAAAGGTACTTCTACCTTACTGAAAATAAGTGATGCTAATGTATATCCATGTGCCCACCTTTCACTCTCTCCCAAAACTAAAAATAAAATATAAAATAAAAATAAAAATATTTTAAAAAGTGTGATCTGTGGTAACTCAGATCATATTTTCACATCTGCTTTCCTGTCTTTACGAGAGACCCCTTACCTTGAGACCTTGGGTTCCTTGGGCAAAGTTCATAGATCCTAACCTTTTTCTCCACTTTTAAACTACTAAACACTATGCTATGGTCAACAAAATGAAAATATTTATCCATAAACAGCTTGGGCTGGCTACCCAAAACCTTTTAACTTTAGTTTGGTCATCATTTTTCAGTTCCTGTTCTGTAAAAGGAAAAGAAAAAATTAAAAATGTTTTTCCCAGAGGTGTTGTAAAAAAAAAAAAAAAAAAAAAACACCACAACAAGACAAAAACAAAGAGAAACACATGACAATGAGAGTTATCATTTGGTCTATTTCTGAAAAAAAAAAGTTAGAGGAATATATATTTATATAGAATTAATATACTGATGATTATAGGCTTTCAATTTAGAGAGAGAATAAATATGCTATGATATTACTACTCTTCTAAATATATATACTGCACAGCTCATTATTTTAAGCAATAAGAACTGAGATAAGAACAGTGAAGAACTGTAAGAACTGGAGTCTGCTGAAATTAACTCTGACATGAGTTACATTTTTCAAAACAGATGGTTAAAATTTCAAGTTCTGTGCAGGTTTGTTGTGCTGATTTAGTATCCTAAATAACATTCATCAGATGCACACAAAACAATATTAATTCTGCTTCAGATTACACCTAGAAATGTTAGATTTCTTATGTCTAGGAAAAACATATAACTCATTGCCAAAGCCCTGGAGAAATTCTTTTTTTAATCTAATAGTCTCATAAAACTCTATACCCAAATTCTTCCTGGACCCCAAGAAGGCAAACTCCTTCCTACCAAGGACTAAATGATTTTTATCGCAACTTCCTGTTTCCAGTGGATATAAAATACAGTGGATTCCGAAGTTAGTACAAAAATATACCTGCAGAGTGAATTTAAGAAAAAGAGAAATCATACTCACATTGCTAGAAATTGCCTTTGAACGTTAATAATGTTTGCTTTGATACATACAATGTATAAATAAGTTTAACATAGGTGGCAGACAGCAATTAATGCTGTATTATGTTTTTTACATTGCTAACAAATCATATCCTATCTTTTGTAACAAATCGAGATAT